CGGGAAATACAAGCGCGGCGATCCGTAACCACCACTAAATGACGTAATAATAATAATAATAATAATAATAATAATAATAATAATAGTAATAATAATAATAATAATAATAATAATAATAATAATAATAATAATTTTAAAATTATTATTATTATTATTAATGATTGATATGTATAATGAGGAAAACTTGAGAGGTTGTCACAACTTCGTATTAGATAGTAAACAAATCCTTTATATAATAAAGTTATATGGTTTGGGAAATGATTAATGTTACAATTAATGCCACAACATCCTTTATTATAAAAAATAAAAAATAAAATAAAAAAAAAGCACAACATTTAAAAAATAAAATAACTATATATTATATAATCATATAAAAAATATACTTTTGAAAAATAAAATAGCTATATATTATATAATCATATAAAAAATGTGTTCAATTAGAGTTTAAATTTACACATACAAAATTTAAAATTTGCTTTCTAAATGTAATTATCTTAGTTATTATTTGTATTGTGAAAATTATAATATAGATGAAATATAATTAAGAATAAATCAATGTAATTATGTAAATTATCTCTATAAGTTTATTTGAATATGCAAATAATTAGAGATTATATTAACCATAAAAAATTTTAATTTTAATTTTAATTTTAATTGTAATTCTGTATTCTATAAAAATAATAAATACTTGACCAAAGGAAGCTCAAAAATATTATTATATTAAATAATTTAAAATATTTTAATTTTTCTATTTTTTATTTATATTTATAATAACATAATTTTTAGCCGTGCATCGCGTGGGTGAATTACTAGTTAATTACTAAAGGAAGAATGGTTAAAGCGCGTCACATATTTTTTAAGAAAATAAATGTACGAATCATTTAACTAATTTAGGGTAATAAAATACATAGAGAAGTATCATTATGAAGCAACAGTGGAGGAGCGTGGATAATTGAATCTCCTTCTCTAGATGCTAACAAGGTTGATACTTGAAGTGGTTATTTTGATTTTATTTAGTAGGTTATTTTTATTTAACAGTTTCTAGCATATTAAAAAATATTTTTTTTTCCTCCCAAAAATTCAACCGCTTTCTCTCCCACTTTCGGCTGCTCCCACGAAGTAAAGGCCCGGCGACTTGGTGCTACCGATTGATGCTCTGATGGAGGGTTGAGCCGGTGGTGCCATTGGTAGACTTTATCCTCCGGCTGTTTTAGAATTAACTGTTAGATCTCAGATCATATTCGATTGTTTTCCAGAAAAGGCTTTACAGATCTGACAGGTTTTCTACCCTCTTTTCCTTTTATGTTGTTTTCTTTTGGTTCTATGTTATCCCTTTGTTCCTTTGACTAGTTTGTTTTCTCTCGTCTCTCAGGCGAGTGTTTCCCTCTCGTCTCTTTGGCGAGTTTTCTTCTCGTTTCTTTGACGAGTTCTCCTCATAAGCGTGGAATGATAAAATGACCTCGCTAGAGTCAGGCTTGGCTATGTTTGACCAGATCTGTGAAGAAGCACCGAGTTCATCCAACAACTTCGGCTTCAAGTTTGTAAAACAGTGTGCGATCCAAGCTTTCTATAACATTGCTAGGAAATTTGTTTCTATGTCTGACTGTAAAGAATGCATTGTCATTCTAACGATCTACATTGTAAACATTTCTGCTTATGATTAATGAATTAGTTTTTTATTTTCAAAAAAATAAATTAAAGTAATGCGTTGTATAGAACATTTGATTTCTGACAGTTAATGAAGTTTTTTTCTTTCAAAAAAAATATATTTTTTAAATAGAGATAAGCATTCCAAACAATTCTATTTAAACTATTTTTGCACTAAATCTTGTATCTCATGCAAGATTGTAAAAATCGTGCCTAGGCGCTAGGCGGCCCCCGACCGCGTCAAAATACGTCAAAATCGGCCTTCTCCGCGGCCAAGCGCCATGACGGTCGAGGCAGCGTCTAGACCGCCTAGTCGGGCGAAGATGACTGCTTACAGTTTTTTTTTTAAAGGGTTTTCGCTAAAACGACGTCATTTTGAGCGAATAACCTTAAAAAAATAAAATCACCAACCGTCTAGCGCTGCCTATGCCTTGCCTCTCGTTGCTTACCTCCGGCGGCTCCGCCTCGTCGATGCTGCAGTCTGCAGGTAAGTTCTTTGCTTAGCTTCCTTTTTTTCTTTTTTTTTTCTTTTTTCACAATAAAAAAAAAAAAAATCGAGCGCGATCACATGTTTTCATGAACAATTTACTAGTAATTAATAAATGTATAAAAAACAAAAAAAACAAAAAAAAAAAAAAAAAAAACAAAATGATGTTTTCCAAGCAAGTCCCTAGTTATATCTTCACTTATATGGTGCCAGTGAAACTATGGCTTATTTTGGTTCAACCTTAGCACGTCACATAAATCAAATGAAATAGCTTGCTAGAATATGATATATGTGCACTTTGTTTTGTTCCTTTTAATAGAAAATTAAAATATAATTTGTGCATTTGTTTGCTGAAATGATTATATGTTACTTTATTGAAGCATAGATTTGGTGTCATGATTACTCCCGGCTTAGCCACGTGTGTGTCTTCATTATTTATTTAATACTTTTTCAGTACAAAATTCCTATACTTACAACAAATATTATTATTCTCAATATTAGTAATTGAACGCATTTGGTGAAGTAGTTTTCAATATAAAATGACATTTCCAATAAGTTAAATGTATATATTATTAATTTATTTATTATTTATGAATTTATAATTAGGTGTTTGACAATTAGCCGATACTTGATTGTGTTAGTTATTTTTACTAGTTGGTAATATTAGCTGTTTATAGAAATGTGCTTAATAAATTAACTATTTAAGGTTAGCTGATAATATGTAAAGTGACTTATAAGAGCATCAGTTTAATATTTATTTATTTAACTATATTTAAATTTATTTTTAATTATAGATATATAACTTTTAAAATAATTTTATTTTAAATTATTATTATTATTATTATTATTATTATTATTATTATTAAAATGAGTTTAGGGTTAAATTGTAATTATAAAAATATGTAGGTACTAACTCCAAATCAAACCTAATTAAAGTAAGCAAAATCAACCCCAATTCATTATTCTCTTCTTTCCAAAAGCCTAGCACCACAAGTTGAACCAGTAAAGGCAATAGTGAAAATCAACAACACAATGAAACAAGAAGGATTTTGAAAATCAAGTGTAGCATTTTAGCCATAGTGCAATTCTTAGCAAAATCAACACTCAAGAACGAAATTGATAGTATCGATGGCCTTGACTGAGAACTTAAAAACTAAATGATGACAAAAACTAAAGATTTATAAGTCTCTTTATGAATTTTAGTCACGGTAGTGTGAGGATGTCATATTAGAGATGGTAGTGTGGGTGAAGACTTAAATCTTGTGGTGTTATTTCCCCGTTTCAATTTGTTGTAAAAATTTGCTAACAAAGAGAAGATTTAGGGGTAGTTTTAACATTTAAGTATTATTAAATGCAAGAAGCCATATGAAAACACTATCCTAACTAGCATTCTGAAATACGGAGGATCATACCAATAAGTTATGCAAATAAGTTGATTTACCAAACATCAATTTTAGTTGTTTGATTTAAAATTATTAAAAGAGAAGACAAAGAGTAGGACAAACAATATTTCACTGCTAAAATGGAGAAAACAAACAAAATTTTAATATAATAATAATAATAATAATAATAATAAATAGATAGAGATGTGGGTGGGTTGGGGTTGGGTACAAAAAAAAAAAAAAAACCAAGAGGGTAGCTTCTTCGTTGGAAAATGGAGAAAAAAAATAAAAATGAAAAAACGCCACCTAAAAAAAAGATAAAAATAAAATATTGAAAACAAATACTTTTCAAATATCACTTTAAATTTTTTTTTTTAAAAAAGCCACCAAACACATTTCATAAAAAATATTGACTAAATTGGAATGACAAATATTTAGTGGATAAATTGGCTATAAATTTTCAAATTGAGTTTATATCAATTGTGAACATTTGGTTACAAACTTTAAAATGTTAGAGAGAAATTTAAAATTTGAAAAGCATTTAATATGATTAAATGTTTGAATTTGTTGGTGTTATTTTGTCCTTTAACCCACCATGGCCACAATTTATTGTGGAGGGTGAGGAAATGACCAAAAAGTCCTTTGGATTTTGTATCCTGAACAAAGAACAGGCTAGACTCCAAATACTAAGCACGACAGTGACGATTCAGGCTTTCTCAGGCCCCACTGGGGACAGTCAAACCTCTCTGTTCAGTCAAACCTGCTCTGCAAACAGTGGGACCCACATCTGTCCTAGCTGGCAGGACATATTAAATTAAAAAAAATACCATATAAACTTTCTATACTTTCAACTTTTACTCTCACATACAAAATTTTGATGTATAAAATCTTATTAAGACCCCTATAAAAAAAGTAGTTTATTAGTGTCCGCTACGTCAAACAGTAAAATTTAAAGAGTAAGGGGGCTGGGGTGTTTGGTTGGTAGGAAGGAAAAGAATTGCAATTTGGTGGAAAAGAATAATGTAGGAATTCAAATTAGATTGTTTGGTAGGGAAGAATATAATTATTGGGGATGAGAATGAAAATGTGATATAAAAATTAAAATACCCTTATACAATAATAATAGCAATAAAAACTAAGGGTAGTAGTGTCATTTGATTTAGTTTTCCTTTCTCAAATTCATTGAATTGCAATTCATTGGGTACCCCATGAATTGTAATTCCATGAAATTGCAATTTCCTCTAACCAAACACTGTAATTCAGAATTTCATTGAATTACAATTCAATTACAATTAAATTACATCCAACCAAACATCCGTAAGATTTGGGACTGCATATAGTAAAATTCAAACCAAAAAAAAAAAAAAAAAAAAAAAAAAAAAAAAAGTAGGGAAGAGTCAGTGACGTGGTACTTTAGCTTTAAATGCCGTTTGGCGTCATCAGCTTCTTCTGATTTTAGCACAAGTTTTGACGTGGTACTCATAAAGCTCGCCTTTCTTACTTTTCTATAACTGTCTCTCTCTCCGCTCTTAGTGCTTTGAATCACTAGCTTTGGATTTCAACTTTTAAGCTTTCAAGGCTCTTCGAGCAAAAACCCAGTGTTGTATATATAGGATCATAACCATACAAACATCATTAATCTAGCGGAGAGTTTCCCTTTCACTTTTTACATTAAATTTGATATTCTTTGTAAAAGATCATAGATACATTTAAAGGGAAGCCCAGCCTTTTTCTTTTGCACCCATTCCCAAAGGGGCTTTTATTTATCCATATAGGTAGAGATTTTGCATGGAAGTGGTGGTGAGTGGTGAGCAAGGTGGCAGTAATGTGATGAGGGAGTATAGGAAAGGGAATTGGACAGTGCAAGAGACGATGGTGTTGATAGAGGCGAAGAGGATGGATGATGAGAGGAGGATGAGGAGGCAAGCTGGGGAGAGCAGTGGGGGGGAGAGGGGGAAACCCACAGAGCTTAGGTGGAAATGGGTGGAGGATTATTGTTGGAGTAATGGGTGTTTGAGGAGCCAAAACCAGTGTAATGATAAGTGGGATAATCTTATGAGGGATTTCAAGAAAGTGAGGGAGTATGAGCGGAGGGTGAGTGGTGATAATGATGATAATAAATCATATTGGAAGCTGGAAAGGAATGAGAGGAAGGAGAACAACTTGCCCACCAATATGCTGCGGGAGATTTATGAGGCATTGGTGGAAGTTGTGGACCGGAAGGGCCAGAGAGTGGTGGTTGTGGGTGGTGGTTCTGTTTCCACTTCTGGTTTCATTCCCCACCACCACCTGCCTCCTCCAATGCAACAACAATCCCCCCTTGAAGCTGCACTGCCACTCCCTCCGCCGCCGCCGCCGCAGGCGGCAGCACAAACACCACCGCTTCATTATCAGGACCAGCCACATTGCACCACTCAGCCCTTTCCCAGAGTAGGTACCTTTTTCTCCCACTTTCTGACATTTTAATCAAGATTCCATTTTTCCCATTTCAATGAGATCAATGATGGGTGTTAAGACATAGTTTTGAATTTTGATGCATCATGATTGGTGGGTTTGTGGAGCTCATAGTGTATTTATCATACCCAGAGAATTCCCCCCACCACCCATCATCTTTTCAAAGCTGACATTTTCTCCCATCTTTTCATAACACATTATTGTTTCAAGTTCCACATGTGCATTGAAGTCAATCCCACACATCTACCTAGAGATAAAAGTTGAGTGCTTTCGGGATAACCCATGCCAAGATAACAAGAGATCACATCTGTAACCATAAGGAGTTTTTATCTCTTAGTTTGAGTCGGTCAACTAAGAGTAACCTAGACTGTTTACTTTCTTGTGATCTTTACTAGTTAAAGTCACAAAACCAGGTTTACTCACACCTAAAAGGGTTGTGAAGTTTGCCTCGTAGTCCAAAAGTTAAGTGCTTTAGGGATAACTCATGCCAAGATGACAAGAGATCACGCTTGTAACCATAAAGAATTCTTGTCCCTTAGTTTGAGTCGATCAGTTAAGGGTAACCTATACTGTTTACTTTTTTGTGATCCTTTGCGAGTTAAAGTCGCAAAATCAGGTTTACTCACACCTAAAAGGGTTGTGAAGTTTGCCTCGTAGACCAAAAGTTGAGTGCTTTATTATTCATGGTAGTTAGTGGCATTTAAGGGCTTGCATTTAGTAGAGTATTAATTAATTAGTGGTTTTTGCATTTGTTTGTTTTTTGTTCATATATGTGTGTTGGAGATGTGTGATAGCTCAGATCCTGATACAAGTGAGCACTCAGACTCACCAGCAAAGAGGAGAAGAATGGGGGAAGGGACCAGTGGGACTCAAGAAGTTGGGCCTGCAATTTCAAGAAGTGCTGCACTCATAGCAGAAGCCATTCAGTCTTGTGAAGAGAGGGAAGAGAGGAGGCACAGAGAGCTGCTGAGCTTGCATGAGAGAAGGCTTCAGATTGAGGAATCAAAGGCTGAGATTAACAGGCAAGGGATCAATGGCCTTGTGGATGCCATTAACAGACTTGCAAATTCTATCCTTACTTTGGCAACTAACAACAACAACCAGCCTGGGGCCCCTCCCTCCTGACTTGCAAATTCAATCCTTACTTTGGGTTTCTAGCTAATAATCCTTTATCTGATTATCCAAAAAAAAACAAAAATCCAATCAGTTCCTAAACAGTGGTCTTGATCCCTTATTTCAGTACTAACGATTTGAACTAGTACTGGGAACAAAAAAACATATTTTGGTATAGATCCAATTGCTTGTAAATAAGTAAGCTGATCATGAATTGATTCTTAGCATGTATTATGTTTTCAAGATTTTCAGTTTCTCTCTGTCAAGAATGATATTCAATTCAATCCACCCTTCTTCTGGCATAATATTATTTTCCTTATGCATTCTATTCTACTGTATATACCACTGTATCTCTTGGGACACTTTAACATTGCATTAGTGGGTTCAATATGAATATTGGTGGCATTGGTCAACACAAGATGCAACCTCACTATCTGCAAGAAGAAAATCAAGAAAATAGAGCATCTCCTGCGGTGACAAGGGAAACCAGCAGTCACTATCGAAAACTGTGTAATAAGAAAATCTCGCATTGTGACCTTAACGGGCAAAGGATCACGAGAGAGTAAATGAGTATAGGTTGTCTATAGTTGATTGACTTAAATCAAGAAGACTAAAATTTAAATTCGTGATTTTATAATTATAAATTTGTATCTTTAATCATTTTGACTGGAATCATATGTACTTCATTTCCACTATTATTCCACACACATTTTCTAATATCTACTCAAGTACTGTGTGCATTTCAAATGGCTGCACAAATATATTATTGTTTTTATATTTTGTTTTTGAGAGAAATGGGAGCATATGCTAGAGAATAGTGATGGTGAGTAGAAGTTCTGAGCATGGCCATGTGTAGGGCAGCAGAGGACTGGTCAAAGGGGGTCAGTCAATGATCTGTGGGTTGGCCTTGGACTACCATTACAAGATGCCCATTTATGTGCTATTATTGGTGTCAGTCTTGAAAAGGCTGTGCTGATGGAAAGGTTGGGCTTTTCTGACATAAAAAGGCCCTACTCTATTTTCACTTTTTTCCTGTAGACGAGAACCAATATGGTAATGACTATTGAGTATCATTTCTGTTTTATACTTTCAATTTTATTTTAATTCATATTTTTCTTGTGTTATTCCTTACACCAAACAAGCATCTCAAAGAATAAATGGAAATTTGAAAAATAGCATGCTCAAAAAATAAAAAAGAAGAATTTGCCATGGTAGAAAGAATAGCTCATGGTAAGATTTTCGTATATAATATATCTTATATATTAATGCATCAATTATGTAATTGACTAGGTTGATTAACGGGGCATTTGGTTCAAATATTGAAATTAGAATCCAAATTGAATTCAAATACTAGGTAATAGTAATGATTTAAGTAGAAAAAGTCATTTCGTTTGGTAAATGATGGTTATTAAACGGGACAGAAAAATAATAATTTTATTATAGAGGCGTGAAGCGCAATAGAAACATGTACAAAGCCTAGAAGACACAGACCCAAAATAGGAGCTCAAAGAATAAATGAATAATGGAAGGACTAGTAAATAAATATAATAAAGATAGATTAAATATGTTACCAAGCATACTAGCAGAGGGGAGGAGACCAAACCACTGGACCAAGAGTGCAGATAGTGTTTAAGGGATGCCTTACCTAGACCAGACCCCCCCCCCCCCCCCCTCCTCCCCATTTTATACTGTTCGTGGATGATCTTGCACCCATGTGTACGACATCAGGATGATGTCAACTCCCACCAGACACGCGTCCCACGTCTTCTCATCATGTGACTGCCTTGACTCCTCATCTACTCACCAGGCGCCACATGCCTGAGACACTCGATGAACACCTCGCAGGAAAAAGGAGAGCACAACACGCACCCTGCCTGGGTGCGACAGGCGGCTGAACCTTGAGCGGGTTTTGTGCCATGCTGCACCTGTAGTGACCGCCTGGTGGCGCGACCAGCCGCCGCCGCGACGGTGATCCCCCCCCCCCCCCCCCCCCCCCCTCTTTTCTTTCGGGCTTTCGCACACCGCTCTACCTCTAAGCTTGCACCACCCTGCCTCTTACTTTGCACCCTTCCTCCTCTGGGCCTAGCCCCAACCAATTAAAATATAATAGATGGAGGCATGATAAGTGCCAAAGACACACACTTTTAGGGTCTTTTTAGAGTGAATTCTAGGCTTAAAGTAATCCTTTGTGTAGCAATTGTGTGCCAAATAGTCATATTTTACATTATTTAGGAAATTATCACCGCACTTTGTGTTTTACAAGTTTTCAGGTGAGTTTCGGGCTTAAACGGGGCGAAGTGGCACAACCGGGAGCAAAGCGGAATAAGGAGACAAGTCGGGACCGAGCAACGCAGCCACAACGTGTGTTGCAGTGCACGTTGTGGAGGAGTGAAACATGGCTGAAATTCCAGTAAGTTTAACGCACCAAGCAACGCACGTTGCAGAGGACGTTGGAGAATAAGTTCCCGAGCAACGCACGTTGCTCGGACGTTGCAAGGCATGTTGGACAGAGCTGCGGAAGGAATTGAAAGGGGAGGCTATTTAAAATGTTTTTAGATCAGAATTTTAAGGGGAGGACTAGAGATTTTAGAGAGAGAAATAGAAAGCTTAGCAAGTAGAATAGGAGAAGAACACTTTGTAGAAGATTTCCTAGAGGGATTGCTTGAAGGAAGAGCTTGACAAACTCCAATTCAAGGATCTTACAAGATTGTTTTCATTTTGTTAATCTCCCTTTGGTACGATTTCTATTACTTTTCCATTTCTATTTTGCTTAGCTATGTTTAGATTCATGAATGCTTTTGTGTTTAATTTGAGTATGGTAGGCTAGATTAGCTAGGGTTTGGATTGTGCAAGTGTGTGTTGATGATGCTTTCATGATTTATTTCCTAATTAGGGATTGATTGATGACATTGCTTGAATGTCTTGTTGTTGAGGATTGACTTGTTTGAATCCTAGGAACTTGATCACCTCCTATAGTGCTTGAGGGATTGATCTATGCTAGATCAATCCAAGCTCCTATCCTTAGCATTTCTTAGCTATGGAACCCTATGGGGCTTGGCTATGAAAGAGTTGAAGGCAAGATGTTTGTGGAAAGGTTTAGGTGAATCCTAGACAAAGCCCTAGTAACCTATGTTGTAACACCCCCGAATTTCAACAACTTTTAAAACCAATTAAAGCTTATGAAAGAGGTAAAGTCTAATCATTAAGAATAAGCAAAGCAGAAGCTAACTACACAAATCCGGGAGATGTTATGCCACACCTACACAACATTAGGTGTACAGGCAAACACTAACTACTAAGCAATCTAACAGATCAACTACTTAGGCTCACAGGCCTCAACAACTATTAAAGGAAGAGATCTAATCTATCTACAGGTCACTAGCGCGCTCTCCAAAGCTACTCAACCTGTAAAAGATAAGGGATAACACCCGGTCAGCGAATAATGCTGGTAACCCACTAACACGCGTTAAGTATCATAATATACATAGGTATAATCAAAACCATTTGAAACTGGGAATACAGTATATATCATGGAAACATCAATAGACTCATCAATCACTCACGACAAAGAACAAAGACCAACATACTCACTAAGACAATAGAACCACAAGCAACAAGCTCAATAATAAGGTACAACGTACGACCCAGATTGAAGGATTCACAAAAGACATGCTCTTAAGCAATGGAAGACAAGATTCACACCACAACGAGTTTCAAATCCTCATAGGACACAATCACTCCAAGTCGTATACCGTGGAGTCAGCACCACGGCTCGATTCATAGTGGATCAGTGTGGAGGGCTCCAAATCATCAATCATGTATCACGTAGTCATCGCAACGACGCGGGTCACATGCTATAGTGCCATCGCAATGACAAGGACCGCAGCCCAATGGAAACAGAGCTAGAAACTTTAAGTGTATACACCCCCTATTGAGATTCCAAGCTCAACGGGTTAGTTACCATCTCTGGCAACTGGAATGAGTTTCCCATGTTGCCCACAAGTAAAGTATCCAAACGGCAATCCGGAGCTTTAAACCCACTACCGGATCAATTCACACATAAGCCCCCACATTGTCCACTTTACCAACTCAATCATCTCACCACATCAAATCCATAATCCCAACAGGAGTCAATACACACGGAATCTAGAGATACAACAACACATAGATTCCACACAAAGTGTGTACAACAAAGGATAAGCTCAACAATAGCTTAATCAAGGAATGATCATACACACAGGATCACATCAAGAGATCCAAGCAAGGGGTTTCAATGAAGGACATGAAACGATACTCAACCACAACAATGGACCTCAATCCAATATCAACATGGTTGGCAACACGAGTTGCCAACCCTCAATAGAAATGGACAAACAATACATACTAGCATCAATGACACCAAAACTAGCATGCATATCAAACGGGTAAACCAAAATGGTTCCAATGAACCTCAAAGACTCACAATAGTCCAACGAATCACAAGGTTGGACCCCAAGCACGATTCAAGACACCAAGTCCTAACACGGATACTTAAGACATTGCTCTAGACATATGTAACATCAATGAGACACACAAAAGCTCAACAATCCAATAAAACGGGGCCCAAAGAATCACACACGAATGGGCGAAACGGTGGGCAAACAACCCCCACCCACTTCTCAAACATGTATCCCGTGGGTGGGGCCACGGGTAGGACTCCCCCCCCACCCCCCCCCCACCGTGGTTCCTCCCGTGGGGAACATCCCTGCACCAAAAATCAGCACTTCGTGGTTTTGCACTTTCAAGGTCAAGTTCAAGTCCAAATGACCCCAAATCTTCCATACAACAAAGATATGACTTGAACCTATGAATAGCTCATCAATAGCATTCAAGAACCCTAAATACAAGCTCTAAACATGAATTATCATAAGATCATGCATCAATCACTCAAACACATCAAGAATATCACATAGAAACCAATAGCCATTATTATCAAGTGAAAATAGGTTTTGTGTAGCATAGGTTACCTCTTGTAGACCAAGAACACCTTCTTCAACCTCAAAGCAAGACCAAAGCTCCTCTAGATCAACCTAGCACTTCACCCACCACTAGATCTTCTACAAACTCCCAAAACTCACAAGGTAGAAGAAAGATTTAGAGAAAAGATGGAGGAATCTTGTAAGGAAAAAGGTAGGGAATGATAGATCTTACCATTGCTAGCCTTGTAGTGTTGGAAAGTTGGAATCTTGGCTTGGAATTTCTTGAAGAACTTGTGAAGATGAACTCTAGGATTTCCTAGAGAGAA